TGGTCGTAACCCGAAATGTTCGTTAGTAGAGGCGTTCGTATCCCGAGGTACCACTGTATACAAGAAAATAGTTTCCTGAGTTGACACTGAATAGGATAATGTACAAAAGCTATATTATCATACATTTATCTGAATGAGAAGAGAAGAATATCTGCATGGCTTTCATTGACATTAATGTTGATTGGCAATGATGTTAATCATACCATTTGGTGGCTGTTCTAACTCTTTTCCCCTCTAGGATCAAGTACATTTCACCAATTCATACAGAATCTCAACTTTTTTTTTTTTTTTTTAGTAGACAGTGACATAAAGATTTGATGACCTTTCTGTATAAACAGGAACTGGGGAATGTGAATGCCTCATTCCTAAAACCTTCTACACTGCACATGGCTTCTTCACAAATTTGGTCCTATTCCCTAAAATAGCTCCCTATGGCATCTGATGCTTCCTGTACAAAGAGGAAGCTGAGGCCTATTGCACGTTCAGACCAAACATTGAACATCCAAGGGGATTTTAGTGTTGATAATTCTTCTGGAAATCCCCACAGCCTCAGTGGTCTGGCTGACTCAGAGCAACTTGCAGAAATATTAGCAAAAAGATGTCTGCATAGTACCTGCATCAGGGCATAAACTTTAACTATTTCCCTATATTCTGTATTATTGGTAATTTGTAACGTTTCAAAAGCTACAGAGTTATGCCTTTTCCATTTTATCTTCCATCTGCTAGCCATAACATTTAAGTCCAGATGGATGACTTCTCATAATTCTATTGCTGTAAAAGTGGAATACAGTAAGATGACTTTGATGCTCCCTGGAGCTATGTTAATGAGAAGGCATTATCTGGACCCTTTTCAATCAGGATTCATGCCGGGCTATAGTACCAAGACAGCATTGGTCACACTTGGGGATGACCTTTGGAGGGCTCGGGATAGGGGTGGTGATCCTGGCTCTTCTGGATCTTTCAGCGGCTTTTGATACCATTGACCATGGTATCTTGCTGGATTAGCTCCGGGGGTTGGAAGCGGGGGGCACAGTCTTGCAGTGGTTCTCCCCCTTTCTCCGTGGCTGATACTATTGCTAGTGGGGGAAGAGAGGTCCAGCCCTAGGCCCCTACTATGTGGGGTGCCTCGGGGTTCGGGTCTTTCTCCCTTCCTATTTAACATCTATATGAACCCACTGGGATAAGTCATCTATCTGCTGGCAATGGGTTTGGTATCATCAGTATGCTGATGATATCCAATTATATATTTCTATCCCATGTGGGCAGGTGATGCTGTTCAGGTGCTGTCTCAGTGCCTGGAGGTTGTAAGGGCCTGGATGTGGAGAAACCGACTGTGACTCAACCCTAGCAAGATGGAATGGTTGTGGGGTTTTGGCCCCCCAGGTTAGGAGAATTGACATCTTTGACTCTGGATGGGATAACACTCCCCCGCACAGATCTGCTGTGCAATTTGGGGGTCCTCTTGGACTCACAACTCCTGCTGGAAGAGCAGTTGGCAGTGGTGACCAGGGGGGGCTTTGCACAAATTCATCTTGTGCGACAATTGTGCCCATTCCTGGACCAGGAGGCCTTGCTCATAGTCATCCAAGCCTTAGTCACCTCCCCTTTGGATTACTGCAATGTGCTTTACATAGGGCTGCCCTTGAAGACCATCCAGAAACTGCAACTGGTCCAGAATGCAGTGGCATGTGCAGTTTTGGGTGCCCCATGGCTCACCTGAGTTACACCACTGCTGTGTGAGCTGCACTGGCTTCCAGTTGCTTTATGGGTGCAATTCAAGATGTTGGTTATCACCTTAAAAGCCCTACATGGCACAGGGCCAAGTTACTTGCAGGACCACCTCTCCCTGAGGATATCTGCCCATCTTACTAGGTTAGATAGGGTGGGTGTGCTCCAGGTTTCCTCCCTTAAATGTTGTCATCTGATGGGACCTCAGAGGCATGCCTTCTCAGTGGTCACCCCAGTCCTTTGGAAGAGCCTCCCACTGGAAATCAGAGGGACCCCTACCTTTTTAGCCTTCCAGAGGGTTGTGAAGACCTGGCTCTTTTCCCAAACATTGGGCTAGGATGGGGATTGAGCTGCAAGGATCATAGGTCTGGTGCCTGGGGAGAAGGGTACTTTTGTTTTTAACTATGTTTTTTATGGATTGTTGTGAGCTGCCTACAGTCATCATATGAAATAGGCGGCCATATATGTCCTGTAAATAAATAAATAAGCAAGCAAGGAAGCTACTTTGATGTGATAGGTCCAGTTTACAAGAGTGGCTGTTTTAAAAAACCCTTGCCTCTCAAGTGAGTTTTTAAAAAATTACAAAAATAACACAAATGTGCTTATTCCTTTAAATGGGATTAGTTGCTGTACATTAACTGTCAAAAAGCACAGTGTACGTATTGTAGCATAATGACAAAATCTTTTCATAGTGAATAAATGGAATACTATAAAATAGTATCCAGTATAAAAGCTATAGTGAAGGTGTGCTAAGCACCAACAGGTTCAACCTTCAGATATCTTATTGCACATTTCAAAACCATATTTCTTAAGACAGGAGAGATATTTATACCTGTGGAGATTGCAGTATTCTATTCCTTTTATAAATTCCAAGATTTTCTACAGTTTGGGGGGGGGGGAAGAACCACTAGGAAAACAACTAATTCAATTATAAAATCATGTGATTGCCTTATAAAAAACTAGCAAGCAGAATGGGGCAATTCACAGTAGATACTGCTTACCCAAACCTTTACTTCAGCATAGTTCAAAAGATCCCACTGAGCCCTATCTGTTCAGTTAGAACTGACTTGAAAAGCTCTTCATTCCTGTTGCTTCCACGATTATTTTAGAATTTTGTGATAGACACATTTTACTTTAACAGATATTTTTAGGAAGTTGTCAGGCCTACTTTTGATGGAAAGCAAGGATAAAATTTGGCCTATGATATCCTATGATAGGAGTATCTCTGGAAAAAAAGGGGTGGGAAGGGGATAATCCAACATACAGGAAATGCATAGTCTACATGTGATGTGTACAACTGCTGCAGAAGGATTGAACAGGAGTGCCTTATTGCCTTTGAATTCAGACAGGAACAAGGAGTGGGACATTAATTCTAGTCTCTGCCCTGAAATTTCTTCAAAAAATTGTGGTGTGGCCAAATAGTAGGACCTCTACCTCTAATAGGTGTAGGTGAACTTTCGATAGCTGGGGCAAAAGTCACTGTGGGTTAAAATTCTGCTTTTTTTCTGAGTTTTTGAAGTTTTTTTTTTTCCTTTGTTTTAAAAAAAAAGCACTTTAAGGCTTCAACTCTTGTTTTCATATATTTTGTATATTTCCTACCACAAAATGGGTGGAAACTGCTGTTTACTTCAACAGATATAAGTATCAATGACATGATGCTTCAGAAGCCACAAAAAGGGTGCTTGAAAGTTGTGTATGGCCTTGCAATCCCAGTTGCGTACCCCTAATCTAGAACAGAGCAATTCTGTAGGGAACTACTGGACAGGGCAGTAACATAATATTGACCATGAGAGCACTCCTACCCAGGCAAAAGGCAAGTGGATGGTTGATGTTGGGCTTTTCAGCAGAGATGTTCTATTTTGTTTAACAGAAAGTAATGGACAAGGAGAATTGATTAGCTACACTAGGCGGGCATCACCCAGAGAACCCATTACTGGATAGTATCAAAAACACCATAACCACATAAGAGGCATAGTGCTCCTTTTGGGGCCTTTCCCCACTACAGTGTTAAAATACCATCCAAATGTAGTAACATTTTTGTCTCCATTTGCCAATCTTTGTTGCATCTATTTTGTCATCTGGATTTGTGAGTGTGGGAGTCATCATAGGCAGGGTGATTGGTTTTCTCCTTTGGCTTCATAGTTTTGCTATGTCTCCTACCTGCAGGGGAAACATCCACCAACTTGGGTGCTGCAGAAGGATCTGATCTGGAGTGCTGCCTGGGGTCTCTAGGAAAGTTTGTTTGTCCTTCTCCCATACCACATCTAGGTATCCCCCAAATTAAAATAATGTGAAATGAAGAAGCATATGAGAAAAACGCTGGGTAGAAATAACCCCAAAGGAGAGAAAGCATACAAATCCTCACATGGTTGTGCAACTGACTAGGTCCTGTAGATCAAAACAACTGAATATGAAAACTGCTGGGCAATGTCGACTCTTGCATCAAGGGAAACACGTTTGTGTTTGTGTGTGTGTGTTAACAAATATAAATAAAATGGAAAATAAGTAACAAAAGCCCAGTTCGTCATCCCTTTTTATATTTTGCACACAGAAATCAGGAAAAGTTACACTACTGGATTTAAAGGTAAACGTGCATTTCAGAATACAATTAAAACAGAATAACGTAAAAATGCTTCTTGTTCTTCTGCAAATAGAATAGTGGAGATCTTGTCATTTTAGAATACTGTTAAAGCAAAATAGCACAAATGTGACTCCTCTTCTATAATGGTGTGTGGGAAAGACCTTGGGAGATGGGGCCCGAGAACAGTCAGGATAGCATAGCCTGCAGCTGGATAGTGGGTGGGGCAAAACGCTCAGAAGAGACCCCCCCCAATTTCTTGGGGTGTGAAGGAAACGGGGAGAGAATTGTACTTTCAGACTTGCAAGATTCTGTTAATACAGTGGTACCTCGGTTCACGAACCTAATTCGTTCCGCGACTCTGGTCGTGACCCGAATCAAATTTCCCCATAAGGTTCAATGTAAATATGGTTAATCCATTCTGACCCCTCCGAATCTGGTTGCGACCCAATTTTTGGTCGCATCCCGAATCAAATTTCCCCATAAGGTTCAATGTAATTACGGTTCATCCGTTCTGAACCATATGTTTTTTTAAAAAAAAAAACGCAAAAATATGAAACAAAATACAGTATGAAGAGAGAGAACGCTAACCTTGCTCGACGCGACTTCTGGCGTGGAGGACAGGAAGGCGGGTGGGGAGGCGGTTATTGCTTGGAGGGAGAGTCCCCCTCCCTACAGGAAGCCACAACCACATGTCATAGGAGGGAAAATGGTCGCGGTTCCTGTTCATCACCCGATCCGGCATTCGTGAATGGAGGCAAAATTTTGCGAACGGAGCTGTTCGTGACCCGAATTGGTCGTGAACAGAAGCATTCGTGAACTGAGGTACCACTGTATAGGCTTACAATAACGTAGTTCATCTGGTCGTGTTTCCTATCTGGTCTACCTGGTAAGGCTGACATCTTCTCTAAATAAAAAGATGGAGCTCTGCTCTGCTTTGCTCTCCCCTGTTGAAAGCCTGGCAAGAAGTTGGTGTCAGAAATAAGGAAGTGGGGAGGTCGTGACTATGAGAGGAACTCAAAGCAAAGTGCTAAGAGAGAAGGCAAATGCTGGGAGAGAAATGGCTACTGCAGAGACTGGAAGGGAAGAGTATGACTGTGCCTCCCAATGCTCCTCAAACTAATTTTTAAAAATTAGATTGAAATAAACATTTCTTAGAATGACTTAAAAACTAACCATGATGAAACCATTTGTATTTCCTGTAGAAGGACATTCTATAAGGGCAGACCCACATCAAAAACGCCTCATCCCTGAAGCCTTTTAATTTAATATTGCTTATTAATGGGCTAATACTTGCCAGTTTAAAAAAAAAAAAAGATTGCCTGGATCTATGTTTTTTGCAGTTTAAACAAATGAAATGTTGTCCTCTGTCTCAGTCTGTGGAGTATTTGTGACCTCTAAGGAATGACTCAGGACACAGCTAGGAGGAATGAATGAGGGCTGAAGGCAAGTGAGTTATAGCTACTATATTCTGACCCTTGAGAGGAATATTGTATCTTCAAGTCAAACTTGTGCTCAGAAGTGTACTTTTCCTGTTACAAAGCTACAGTGTTATGGATGTAACTGCAGTACTAATTTTTTTCAATTAAATTCTTAAATGTAGATGATTTTTTTCAGAAACATACTACCCCAGCCTGATATAGATCTCCCCAGTCACATACTTTGGCTCAGACCATTTTAGCACCAAGTTTGTGGATCCAGAATCTTTTGACAATGTTCTCACAAACTGTGGTTTTCTTAACCATGCTTTACTCAACCCAATTTTCTGGGTTTTGTGTGACACACTGAAACATAATCATAGGAGCTGGATTCACACAACACATGATGTTACAAAATTAATAAATATTGAAGCAAAATAACCTTAAGTTCTATTCAGCACAGATACTGTCTTCTCAGGCTTCACAATTCTTACAGACTTGTTCCAGCAGGGATAATCAGCTCCTGTCCAAAAATACACAGACAGTTGCTTTTGCACATATCTGAAATAGTGTGAATCTCTAAGTAGGGCATACATGCTCAGTTCAAGGACACCTTTCTACTCTTCAGTTTTGGTCCCAGAGCTAGAAGAAAAATGGTCAATAAGCAACCTTAGTAAGACCAGCAGAGAGTCCTTATACTGACAGTTCATCTTGACTTCCACACATTTTCTTGACTGTAGCACATACCATTCAAAGATTTGAGACACAAGGATTGTGCTAAGCCACATAATATGGCTAGTTTGATTTTTTTTGCTTACCTCAGCCACTGTAACTTATAAATCCCAATTGGGTTTTGTGTGATGTATGAACCCTGCTCATTGTGTTTTAGTTGAGAAGCCGTAATTTAAATAAACCTTGATTTAGTGTAGTGATTTGTGAGCCAGATCAACAAATCCATGAAAATTCTTCAACTAAGGTCCTTATTCAGGAAAAGTCTTTTACAAAAAAAGGCTAATCAATCATAGGCACCATTACTAGTGATGCTCTAGTACAGGGTTCCTCAACCTTGGCAACTTTAAGACGGGTGGACTTCAGCTCCCAGAAGGCTGGCTGGGGGATTCTTGGGGTTGAAGTCCACCCGCCTTTAAGTTTCCAAGGTTGAGGAACCCTGTACTAGAGCATCACTAGTAATGGTGCCTATGATTGATTAGCCTTTTTTTGTAAAAGACTTTTCCTGAATAAGGACCTTAGTTGAAGAATTTTCATGGATTTGTTGATCTGGCTCACAAATCACT